TTGTTCTTGTGTCATATTTAGATATCATTTATAAAGAACATTTTTTAACTTTGATATAGGATTTAGTTAATGAAAAAAGCAATGACTACTTTTACACAGAAAGATGTGTATTTGAATTAAGATATAACGTTTCTATAGAAAGTATTCTATAATTTTCTATCTTTCTTTACAGCAGGACATTGTTAGCTTCGTTGATTTCCTATCTTGCTCATATCCTTTGTTCCGAATTTCGTAATACGAAATTTGAAAAGGTCGCGCACGTGCGCAGGAGTGTGTATCGGGTTGCGCCGGAAGCTCGCCGCTTGAAGCACAATGGCTACCGGATGTGGCCGCTCGAAACGACACCTATCTTTTTTATCGATAACTTAGAAAGCTCGATATTTTGTCTGCGACCACTTCGCCGCGGTATTGATTTCTTCGTTTGGCGTGTGCCTCGTTAAGTGTTAACAAGCGTTTATTTTTTGCTGTATTTACATAGTCGATAAAAAATTGTCCAATTGCATACATTACGAGGTAAGGATATCTAGTGTTTACCTTGTAATAGGGCGGGGCTTCTGTACTCGTCGATAAATCACCGTAGGGCAGGACGCCGGGCGTCACCGAGTTTATTGCGACGGATTAAAGGCGCAGTATCACTAAATGGAAATAAATTATTATGATTGGTGCCACGTAAGTCACCTACTGCGCCGCTCGTAAACGTTCGCTAATAAGGATGGGCCCTGTCGCTCTCATTTAAATCTGATATGCATAGCTTTAATGACGCGTTGCGGTTAATTACAGGCTCATTAATGTCATCAGGATACTTGTGTCTTTATTGGTGTTCGTACCTTAAGCGGATTTCCATTTTCGATCATTCTTGTTTTTCTTACTGTACCATGGTATGCATGAATAGATTATCTGGACCTTAACTTAGATATATATAGAAATAACTTTATGTTTGATGAAAAACTAATATAATTTTACATAATGGAACCTAGAGCTATATTTTTTCACTTTAATATGGTAAATAACATGTTTTATGTGCTATATTACTTTATTAATACTCATATTTCAATACGAGTTCATATAAGTCTACGCAACTGCAACATTGTATCTACAATCAATTTTTTATACCTTTCTTTCAAAATTAGTAAAGAGGTTACACGTTTTGCATTACATTGCATTTATTAAAAAACTATAATAATATTCGACTATTTTCAGGAAAACGATAGTGATATTGTTTGATATTTTGAAACAAAACTTTTAATTCCATAGTGAAAGATGTCCTCAAGCGATAACAATGTTTTGGCCATGAAAGTCGCACTTTGCCAGAGTCGTAGTGCATTTCGCAAAGTTGTTCCGCGGCCAACGTCCGGCGATTAGTCGAGTGCGCAACAAGGATGCGCACCGAACGGCTTGCGACAGCGCGGATGCCTCCGAATTGCACCAATGCAGTGTGTATACGCCTTATTAATATGAGCTATTGCAAAATATTGAATACGCCGTGTGTGCGTTAACCTTGAAGCGCTCGGCCCAGTTGCATTCGTTGGCAACGCTCGAGTCGCTCCGAGGACGTGAAAATTTACAATACCAATACTCGCCACTGAAAGCCGAACACCTACAGCCTTAATGAAATCTATCATACTTTGAATACATATTCAATAGTTAATGATTGTATCAATATGATGTTTGGACATCAAAGCTTCTTCAAATAATGTAGCATATATTTGTTTTTTAGTGACTAAAATATTACATAGTTGAAGTCAATGTTTAATTATTAATAATTGAATTATTTTTTTATCCAATTAATAGTTCACGCTATAATAGTATTCATTTGTTTGAAAATGATCGAATATATAACAGATTTTATACGTCGGAAAAAGTGGCTTATATAAATAAAAAAAATGGTTTTAAATTACAACAATATATTGCAGTTTATACATGCTCACCTCTCCATACAATCAGAGGGTCCAGCTCAGTGGATTCCCTGGAGCGCGAGCTCGGATGTAAAAACATATTTTAACCCGAATCCAGGTCTCCCATATTTGTTCGCGCACTCACAACTTGCACTTAGTTCCCGCTTTTTTTCAAACACTATTATTTTAAGGTTATGATATAAAAACCTTTTTATTAAATTTAATTATAGAGCACCAGTCTCTTATAAAGACATGAGTAATTTTGAAAGGTTTTTGTTTATTTGATATAGTTAAAAGTGAAGCACAATGTATTTGTGCTTGAAGACTGAGTGCTGAATGGTGCGGTTGCTGTCGGCCGACACTGGGGGCAGTTGGTAGGGGACGTAACGCGCACGCAAACATTATTTATTTACTAATTTTCTTTTACAAGAAGCGTATTCATCAATCATGTTAAACAATAGCTGTTGCCCGCGACTCCGTCCGCCCGGAATGAAAGAAAAACTTAATAAGTAGATTATGTTCTAGATTTATACCAAATTTCAGAGGGATCTGTTCAGTCATTCTGGAGATATCTTCAAACAACCATCCATAGGTAGTAAGATTATTGCTTTTTACAATATAAATATAGTTTGTTAATGTACGTTTTAAATTTCACTCAAATTAAAAATAAATTTCCACCTAAATTAATCACTTCCCATGTACGAATTACGAATACAACTGAATTGAAAAGGGATGTTATTGCTGCATATAAGTCTCTTTTAAACAAATATAATTTGATTATACTATTAAACTTCAAAAGAATTTACTTTCAGTATCTTTCAATTGCAATTTGTGACTACAGATGTTTTGCAACAAGCAATGAAAACAGCGAAGATGACACGGTCGTAATTATGGCAGGGGCACGAGACTCTGCCAGACCTCTGATGGGCTCAAAGAGAGCGGAAAAATGGCGTCAAGGTCGCGATTGCGACACGCGCCCAGCCGACTGGAAAACTAGTGTGCGCCGTTTGTGCTGTTGGCTAGTCTACTTAGACGTTGAATAAGTGCTATTTTAGTACCTATTGTGATTTTAAATGTTCATTGTATTGTTTAAACGTTAGTCTACGATATATACAAAATATTTTTTTTGTAAATATTTTTAGCAATGCAGGGTAACGAAACATACAGACCACTAAATATTTCCATTTAAATAGCATTTGAATTTCTGCTAGGTGTACAAAAACGGTAATAAAATAAGCAGTTAATTATAAATCTTTCAACGATTAAATATATTGGATGCAAGATATGGTTTAGTTCGAGTCTTACGAGTCGAGTTGTAAATGATGTCCACGGGACCACCCGTGTTAACGAGCGTGGAAGAAGGATCTTGTCTCTTCCAGCTATTTATTATTTCGGTAGCATTCGGCCGCAGTCAAAACATCGCTCCTATGATTTACAACGCAATAAACACGCTTTACATCTAATGGAAATGAGCTTTTATACGTGATATTGTGCAGCCGCCCTACCGATTGTAAAATTTGATTCATTTTTCTCACTTCTAGATGCACGGCGCTGTAACAAATCACAACTGTCGACGTCTGTGACGATTTTCTTTATTGTTTTCAATTTAAATATTTATTTTTAATTTTAATAACGTTTAAAGTTTCGCTGACACTATACTAAAACCTTTTCAAAGAAGGTATTAAAGATACTGTTAGAAAAAAAGGAACGTTGAAGCATTTTAAGGCAGTTAAAAGAACAACTTGTAACATTCAACGGTAGTATTCAATGTGTCTGAATCTTATCTTAACTGCTCAATAAATAAGGAAAGTATTGCGGAGTTTCTCTTGCGTAGCAATGCTAATGAATACTCTACTTCGAATAATGAAATTTTAAATTCCGTTGTAACGATTCAACTAGCATAAAAGACACTGCTACAAAATTAACTACACAAAGCTTTTAAAAATATATCGATGTTAGTTCTCGATGCTATCGATAATGAAATCGAGCGACTAAATTTAATGCAGAAGTTCTGTCAAGAGATTAATCGATATACACGGTGGCCCGTGTCTAATACTTAAGCTTCTTTTCCACTAAACGTATACTCGAGCTACTCGGCCCTGCTATAACTACTTAAAGATATAGCAATCTTGTACAGCCACAGTCGTAGGGCTAGTAGTGTAGTGGATGATATTTTAGTTAGGATACTCTTGGGTGTTTATGTGGTTGACTTGTACGTGTGGTGTGGGATGAAGTAGGCGACAACATTCGAGTTTATTTTTATAGCATCGATTACATTAACCGTGGCTCGTAACTGGAACGTAATTGTTGAGTTATCGCGACTAGTAGTTTAATGAGAGTGGAGTATATTGCACCGGAGATAAGACGCCGACTCCTTTATCTTTACGACTTGATAACGACAGCGTAGATTATGCAATGGATTATGTTTAGATCAGTAGCTCGTAAATATTCTTTTCTTTATGCTCTCGAAAGTAGAAAGTTAATTCTAAGCTCTAACTAATAAAGAACTAAAAAGAGCTAATTAATTCATATATTTTCAAGTACAAGAGGTACGTAGGTAGGTACTGTTAGGAAGAAAATCCGATACCGTGCCAGGGTACTGGCGCAACATTAGCCTTACTAAAATGTCGACGTTTATGTCCCTTCACTAATCATTCTGACACTTGACTTTGTAAAGAAAGCACGTCATTCGCGCCAAATTATTCTAACTAATAATGTTTAACAGTGCGTAAGGTTAAGTACTAAAAGACTTTTGAGAATTCTAAAGTTCGTCTAAAACATTGTACTTGTTCTATGTAGGTAATCACATCTAATTTGGTTCGTCTCTAATAAGAGAATTAGGGCCAATAAAGGAGTTTCCGGTTTTGTGAAAATTCAAATTACGTAGGTTCTTAATAAATGAATATTATGAAATTTAAATACATAAGAAGTGTTGGTTAATTGAATGTTGTTTTACCTAAAACATTACAATTTTCTAAACAGACACTTACCTTTACATTACTTACCTTTTACAATCGTGCTTTGTTCTTCACTTTTTGTAGTATACAATATCAACATATGCACAAAAACACATAGAGACATATAGGTACATAACATGGTACTCACCAGTATTATTGTTGTTGTAGTGATGCGCGGGCGGGGGGATGTACTCGGCGAGCTCGGGCAAGCAAACGTTGCTCTCATACATGTTTGGCGGCACGTTCGCGATCAGAGAACGCTCCTTCTCCACATCTAAAGGAAATGTGAGAAAATGAGCTGTGATTGAGAATTATATTACTCAATGTTTAGCCGTTCCTTTCTTTCCTTTATTGCTTCTATAGATCCTAATTACAATGCTTGTAGAATGATCGGTAGTTTTAACAAGTCTTTAGGCTACCGTTTACATTTGCGTATAGGCGTCACAGCGTAATTTCTTTTCACACAATAAAGTGGAATGTTTTTTATGAAGTCAAAGGAATTACTAGAATAGATCCTTAACATACCTTTTTGTAATATTTCGAGGTGTTCCCACAGTATATCTCCCATGAAGGCGGGTGCGCGAGCTACGAACTCGTCCCGTCCCATGGCGCATATGTCCTTCCCCTGTGCGCGCGCGAACTGCTGCAGCGCAACGCCCTCTAGCGAGAACTCGCGCGCTGCCCAGCGCAGCCACGCCGCCACCGCCGCCTCGCTCCATTGACGAGGATCTGTAACACAATAGCACAGGTTAAACATAAAAAAAAGGAAATGGTATACTAACGCCACATCAATACAGCAAAATTAGATTCTTTGTCATTAGCCTAAATATTAAGATGTAATTACACAAACGGCTAAAATATGGTATAAAGTGTAAATGTACAGTCGAACCTAGATAAGCATAAGTCCAAGATACTTTTCACGGTTCTTAGGGTTTCTCGATTATTCAGGTATGACTGTATTTAGACAAGCTTTTACAGATATATTTAATGTTGATTCCAAAGTATAAACTTTTTTAATTTAGTATATTGTTCAGTAATTCTAAAATGTAAGTATCTATGTTTCTACATCAATCTAGGGCGTGGTTCCCCTAACCGCGACTCATTTCCCAAACAATCAATTGCCACACAAACACATCGATCGTGGTTTATAAACCTCGAGCCCTATTTCAAACGCGATTGGAATCCTTAGAAGCAATAAAACGTTGTGATGCAACACAAACAATTAGCCCGATGTTTCCTAACGCCGGAACTTGCCACACGCCGAACGGAAGCTCCCCGACCTTGCCTCCCTACGAACTCGATAAAAAGTGATTTCTAATCGTAAGTACATCACTACTCATTAGAATTGTGTCGGACGTGTTGATTGTTTTTCTTCGATATCCCGTTTACGAAGCTTCGTTGAAAACTCTTTTAAGTTATGTCCGGTCGATCGCCTCTCTTAATAGCTTACACGTTGAAATGTTTCCTTTAATGATATTTGAATGTTTTATGATGGTTTGAAATTGCACATTTGCCTTATTTGTGGTTGAAAAATTATGTTTAACATAACTATGCTATAAGCATGTGTACATTGTAGTTCTTGTCAAAGAGTAAACTTCAAAGCATGTTTTAAAATTATTAATAATACTTAGGTGTCTACTGAAGTGTAATTTAATAAAAAACATATATAAATATTAGTCTCCGTTGTGAATTAAACGATAGGGTTAAAGATCATTTCGAGTTATCTTTGCCACGCGTCGGTTAATAGTTTGTTTTTGTAATTATCGTCGATGTGTAAAGAGTAAAGTTAATAAATTGACTATAAGTTTATAAATCCGTAGACTCGAAATGTTTTGCATGAATTGTTTTTTTAATTATCAATACGATGTAAGAACTTAAGAGCGAGTTGTTTATGTAAAAAAGCGGTACCTATATGGGTCCTGAATAAAAAGATGAGAAGGTATAATTTTTATGAGTTGCGTTATTTGAAGTAAGAAATGTATCGGATATGCTGTTTATTTATCTTCCGTGTCCGCAAAGGAAGTTCTATCGGCTGTCTCTTTTACACTTTCCGACTCGATCAATTTATCGGAAACATATTGCAGGATGTTCATAAAGAATAAACATTTTTTAATTGTCAGAACTATTTAATACAAATGGTGAAGAGGAAACGATAGATTTTTTTTATTTGATTTATGAACACCATTGTTATGGTGGCCAGGAATATAAGAAATGTGTTTAACATATTGTAATTAAAAGAACTTTCAATCAGCACTTTCGAGGAACCGACTATAGGTACAGTTGTAGGTAGCGGCTACAAATTGCTCGAGATCGGAACTTAAGTTTTTCCTCGAGCTAAAAAGCGTCCGAGAGAGGAGCTAATAATAAATAATTAGTTTAATTACAGCTTTCAGTCGGCGGCCGCGGGACACGGCGGGTAACGTCCGCGGCAACATCGGCGCGTGGCGCGAGGCACTGTGCTCATTGTCACAAACGACACGACATTTTTATTAACACAGAAATGTATACTAGCGATTGTGATTAAATTAACTGTTGATTTGAATATAACTTTTATTTTTAATAACTTACTTATGATTTTAATTGGCGCGGCTTTTATGAATTGTATTAGAGGACTTTAGTTCGCATTCACTACGATTTTACCCCTATACTTTAGGAATTGATATAAATTAAATATTAAACTCGCAATATTTAAGTATTCAACCTCTGCTATTAACTTGACATGTGCTATTATTTTAATCGCGTGTTATACGTAACGGTTTCACTTGTTAAGGCTGGGTTTGTGACCTCGATCTAATTGTGTATCGAGCTAATTTTGTATTTTACATACATACATGTTTAATGTAATTGCAAAATACACATATATCTTTACTATTTACAAAAATTCACATTTTAGTTTTAACGTGAAATTCTGTTTGTCTTGGTCGAGTCAGTATTTTAGTATGAATTAAATTTAATAAACATACGGACTGATAAGAGACTTTTCCGTGTTTCAGTATCGACCTTGTAAAGTCATAGGATAATTTCAGTCCAGAAAAAAGAATTATATTTACTAATAAGCTTAAATGCTCATCTCTCGATTTACCATAAAAAAAAGAAAATCAATGAAATAAATCACTTATATCTATTTTAAGATAATATCGTGTCGCATATGATTATGGAAACGTATGGCGTAACAGTAGCAGGTAAGCGGAGGCATAAAATTTTTAGCTCCCGCTTCTTTATCTTGATCTGATTGATTTTTAATCTTTTTAAAAGCAGTAAAGTATTCCACTGGCTTTCACGGTATGTCATAAACAAGTCGAATGTAATATAATATGTTTATAGAATATCACTTTATAGTACCAGGAACACATAATGTTATGCTTAAAGAGATTAAAATTTTAGTTAATGATAATAATGATTAATTTTTTTTAATCATGCAGTTCTTAAAATATTTATTTAGAAGACTTTTGTTTAGTAACAGGGTAAATACATGAAAATCCTATAAACTACTATCAGTAATTTAAGTGGACTTTTATTGTTATGTCTTGAACCACCAATAAAATTTATCTAGTCCGATAAAGACATAGAAAACAGGCTCATTTATTTCTAATTAAAAAAAAACTCTCTTTTTAAATTTATTCGTAGTGTATTTGAAACAGTATAAAGTTGTTACAATCAAGGAAGACTCGAATACGAAGTGATTAAATTGGACCGTTTTAATTTTACGTTTTGAAGTACACGATGCATTAATGAGGTAAAAGGTATCGATGTACGAATGTCCGACGAAAAGGGTTACATCTTTTAAAAGATCTCGTAAGAGATATAACTCTTTTAGGTCGATGGCAGTGTGGCTGTATCGTATGTTAATAGACCAATTCCATTAACAACCGATCTCAAGATAACAGGTCTTGTTTCTTAAGAATTATCTAGTCGTCATTGTGAATGTGACTCGTTTTATGTTCGATCCGAGATCTTGACAAACAGATATACAAGAAACGGCAACTTCAATACTCTATTTACATAGTTTATTTTTACTTGAATATATTGTAATCATTGGAAACACATGTTGGATTTATGTGATTCAAGGTTTGTGTTGTTTAAAAGTTTTTTATTCTTTGTTATCAGCTCTATTTGTACTGCTTATGAAGTTTTATAGTTGAAGAAAATTTCAGTGTAATTTCACAACATTGTTTGGAATTTATTTTTGCTTAATTTTCTTTTAAACGGTTGAATCTTACAAGGATACGTTAGGTAGATAATTCTCATAATTTTATAGCTCAATTCTTCAAAGTTCTTATTCAACAGTTACATGGAAAATGATAAAGAATTTTCATTCCGTAAAGCAAATACCTCTAGTATAGTGAAATACAAGCGATGAATTATTGATTTGATCGTTTGATGTGGACTATACTTTAGCATAATGTCACTGATTGTCATTTATTTATGCTATCTGCGATGTGTACGTGCATTTCTAATACTGATTCCATCTCAATGCCTCAATTCAAGAACTGATAATAGCTATTAATAAGAAACCAGTGATTTAAAACTAAGAAAGCGTAGAAGACTAAGAAAACTAAGAATTTATCAAAGATATGTGTGCAGTGAACCATCCCGCACTGGCGGCGTGGTTGACTATGGCCTAGTCTTCCCTAACTTAGGGTAGCCTCCGTGCCCCTCAGTGGGGATGTACAGTTAACTGATGATGATGTTAAAAGAATTATTGCGATCCTTAACATTCGTAATAACGTTGATATCGAATTAAAAGATAATCTGCAATATCATTCGACGTGACATAATGATCTCATATGAGAATATTGCAAAATTACTTGAGTAATTCTTCAATTAGATTAGATTATGTCATGAGTCGTGTGCACAAGGATATGCTCTGGCTACGATGACTGCAGTAAGATATACGCGCATTAAATCCACTGATGTCCCGTTACTGAAGATTAAGTATTGGTATTATACAAGTGACACATACAAGTCCCCTTACTTACTGACTCTAATAAGCTGGTACTCCACCGTCAACTAAACTAAGTTTAGCTTAGCTCACTTAGTTACTGCAAACTATTACAACTAAATTTCGTTACTTTAAAATCCTACAAAATTACAACAAGTCAGATGCAAACATAATAAGAACACAAGTATAGCCTACAATTTCCCTTTAGGTAGATATATGTTGCAATGATAATACGATAAACATAAAGACGGCTGCAGCTAGTGACGCGTCAACTTTCCACGATGCCAATTAAACTCGGAATATAAACGAGAATATCGATAAGAACATTTACAACACTAGTTAACAACGAACCCTTTATGTGTTACAATTGTGTCGATAAAAAAGCGAGACTTGTTCTTTATTGAGCTATTCAGAATTATCTGGTACGTGAAAATGTTTGCAATAAGTTGATACTTATCTTTATTTGCCAATTTCTTTTTTTTTAATTATATAAGTAAAGCTTAAAAAATAAGTTTTTCATCCTTTTTTTTTAATTAAATAGATATATTTGCCACTCTTCGGTATAATTTAGTTAAAAATATAGACATTTTAGATTGAAAACGACATCCTGTGTGCATAGATCTTCAATCTTTGTGCACTTACAACCACCTAATGCATTTAGAAGTTATATCTAAAAATGACTTCATATATATTTTTATGTTGAATCATTGTGGTAACTATTATCGAGCCAATCAAAATGTTAAAGGATATGACTGTATTTACTTTAAATAAAAATAACTCCAAGGTAATCAAATTCAAATTTTAGGCACTCAATTGTGTATCTATTTAATTTTACGATTGTTTTTAATAAGTTGAAGTAACACTATAAAGTATATATACATAAGTTAGTTCGAGAATAATAGGTTAATTTTATCTGACTGAAGTTGGGTGTGATATTTACTATCTTACTTCTTACTAATATTATAAATGTGGATGTTTAGATGGATGGATGGATGTTTGTTTGAAGGTATCTCCGCAACGGCTACATGGATCTTGCTGAAAATTGACATAGATGTAGAACATAGTCTGGAACAACACATAGGTTTGTTTTTAAAGCTTATAAATAATATGAGCAAATACTTTAAGCCTAGTGAACATCTTGAATTGCCTAATGATCATAATTTGGATGAATCCGTTAAAATAACAAATGTAATAGCACTAAAATAGTATTGCATGGGTAAATGATTTACTAGCGCCATATCCTGCGCGCTTGTTAGATGCGCGTGCGCACCGGAAGCGCGAATAGACTCGCCGCAGACGCACGCACTTCCGTCGATCACGGGCATCGAACCCGCCACCTGTCCGCGCCCTAATACTACATAATCACATACATATAAACCTGAATTGTTCCTTAGCTTTGTTAAAGCCCTGATTATCGCATGCGTTTATACCGCGATGGTTGCTGCGCTTATTGCTCTTTTATTGTAAAACCGCAGTATTGTCATGATACACCAATACTCTGTCCCGACGTGCTATAAAACTAAGGCTATGCGTTGATCAGCCCCTTTAGTCAGTTCAAACCAATTTGGCGCGTGACTCTACATGTGTTTCAATAATGCTCGTCGTACCGAGCCCGAATATATCAATATGACTTTAACCACATATCCGTAAACATGAAAGCTGTTATAAAATCTGTATTATGTACCTTTCTTTAGTAACATATCGCAAACATTTAACGAAAGAAAATAATTTAAAAAGTAAAATAAACATTAACAACATAATAAAAGTTAGCATCATCGTATGTTAGTTGCATAAAATAATTGATGTCGATGTAACGCCGGTTGCCACCAACAAAGACGAAGTGCCGGTCTGTTCGTCTGTTCGTCGCATTACCATATGCAAATTACGGCTACACGGCCGTATCTTGTGCGTCTTTGGTAGTTTTTGCCTAGTTTACACAGTTCTTTAGTCACTTGTTTTTCTTGATTTATTTAAAAAAAGTTATGTCTTTATACGCCTTGCAGTAGCTAAGTTTTTGCTATTACTTTACATTGAATGCAGTAAGACATGATTGATGTATTTCATCGCTTTTAATAATAATTATTTTAAGTATTTTTTTTGTGAACTTGTATCAATCATGGACTTCGTCCGCGGGAATTGAAAAACTTAATAATAGCCAATGTGTTCTTACAGGCTATGCTATACATCTATGCCAAATTTCAGCGAGACCTATGCAGTCGTTCGGAAGTTACCTTCAAACAAGTATTCATTCATCCATATAAACATGCGCATTTATAATATTAGAAAGAAGTAAGAAGTAAAATGCTTTGTTACACTTATTTATAAAATACGACGCAAGAAATAGATCTGTTTAAAGACGAACATAAAAATGTAATATGAATTTTGTACTCATTTCTCATTTCAGAACCTGCGCGTTGTAAGATTTTTAATTATACTTCTGTGCATTTAGTGCGGTTTCTTCCTCGTCGTAAAACTCTACGAGCGAACGAACGAAATGTAATGGAATGAAGTTTACTCGGGTACAAAACTATTCCACAATGTACCCGTAAACATTCTCTTAATACCGAGAAGATTAAGATGATGGAAATTTAAAATGGAGCCATAATTTTACGTCATAATGCAGCCGCTATTACTCCATGGCTAAAGGTAATCGATTGTAGTGGTAACTTTTAATGGTAATTAAAGTAACCGTGTTTTATTACGCCTTTCTAGAGCGATGTTAGAACGCGGGATGTTTAATATAATTGTTTAATGTAAGATGAAAATGATTATTATATAGGCGTAAACATTTTATGACGTTTATTTAAATAAACTATAAAATAAGGAAATATAAATTTCAATAAACTCTTGAGAGATTGCTGATGCTACTAGCTAAGATTTAATACGAGAGAAAACAAGATTATGCAATTATATTTAATTGTACGAACAAGAAAATTGTAAAATTATTTGATTTTACAAATAGACGATTTCAAATTATATTAATGGGTAGCTTTTTTATTTAGCATTCATTGGAGGAAACGAACACTAAAACAGTAAAATGATTAAGGCTAACTAACTCACAGACAAACTCATAAAATTCTGACAACCGTCGTTACGTAGTACAACTAGACACTGACCAGTTACATTTTGTTTTATGTATTAGAATATATTTGACTACTTATTTTTACATATGCTCTGTATGGTACTGACCTTTGGGTACGCCGAGGCGCAGCTGCTCCTTCTCCCAGGAGGCGAAGGTGGCCTTCAGCGCCTCGGCCATCTTCTTGTTGGTGCCGGGCGTGAGCGGCGGCACCTGCGATGGGATGTCTGCAACAAAAACAAATTTTGTTATTTTACAGTGTAGTCAACAATGAGAATTTGCATATGACTAAAATTGTAAAGCTTTCCGACGGAATTACTCTTACGTATTCGTTTAGCTCCTTAATATTTATCAGATTATAGGAGCCTGAATATTTAAATCATATCAGATTATTTTTAGCGAAATTAAGAAAAGTGCAATTGTTAGTAAAACTTTATTTTTTTTCATATATAAGATTTCATAGATAAATCCAATTGGATAAGTAAAAGTCTATGATAAATTACATTTTTAACTTAATGACGTAGCTATGTATATATCTTTGTTATCAGGAGTGACATTACAATTCGGAAGTCGGTCCGCTATCTAATCGAGAGCCATCCGAATCTAACCAGATCTTTATCTATCGGATTAATATCTTTATCAACTTTATTTATATTTATCGAGCACCGAAGAACAAATTAATAGCTGATTTCTTTTCGAGGCCTGATGCCTTTGAATAATATAAATCAGAGATAAACAAGTGAGATTGTGTACGTATACGTTTGTGTGTATACGTGTGTGTAGGATCCATTCATAAGTGCGTCAGGTTTGTGTTGCATGTGTGCGTGGGCGTTGCATCAGTGTGCGTGGCTTGCACACCTGCCGACCAGTTCTGAGATGCGGAGATTTGAGCTCGTCTCCCACGGTCGCTGCCCCTTACGATCAGCTCTAGTTGAACCTTGCTTTATATCATTTAAATATAACAATTGTTTTTAGATTATTCGTATCTTAAGAAGGCATGAGAAAATGATTTTTTTATGCCTGAACGAAGAAATACTTCTACCAGTGTTTTTGCAATTGACAGCTATTTTGTATTTAATTTGTAAAATATTATTCTGTTCTAGAACTTAGTTAATTAGAATCATTTGTAAAAGGTGATTATTGATAGAGTTATGTGGTACTGAAAACATGGATTTAGCTCACAAAATATAAGTACTAAAATCTAAAAATCCACTACTCCACATTTATCACTTTGAATCACAAGTTGCCAAGTCTCCTGAAGAAAGTTTTATTTGCGGCATTTCCTATCGCAGTTGCATTGTAATTTCAGTAAATATATTGATTCCTGAATTTAAAAAACTACGATATAACACCAATATAATTATTCAAGATAACAATGTACGGGTATAAGTATAGCGAATCAGGTGTCGGTTGATTCCACAGCGGTGGCTGCGAGCACATTAATTGCGAATCGACACTGTGATTTACTCGCTACATCCCGCGCAGGTGCATCTGAATCACGATCACTATTGCACCTTACGGCCAATGATTATTTCAATCCGATTTATAAGCCACCATGATAATAACAATGATACAATTTGAGAGAATCAAACTTCTCCATGGAGTGCAATGATACTATCTAAGCACCATTTTGTTAGCAAATTTATTTTTTTATAGCATTTAATTTCAAAATATTTTGAACGTTTAAATCATCTAAATATTGAACACAAATTAACAAGCAACTAAGTAAGTCTCTTTGTCTTACAAATCTCAATAGGCATTTATTTTTTCGGTAAATCTGATGCCGACATTCAGTTTCAGTTAAAAAGATTCACAGTCTTTATGAAGTCAATGTCACTTTTATGTTCCTTTGTGCGTTCATCTTGTCTTTATTAAGTCGTGATTTTTTTGTGTTCGTAACTGGCTTATATAGGCTATTGTTTTGCAAGTGAGATAAAACATCTGCCAGTGTTACATCGCTCAGTTGCTGCTGGATTTTAACTTATATTCATACTAGCTGTTGCCCGGGACTCTGTCCGCGCGGAATAAAAAAACATAGTAGCCTACGTGTTCTTCCAGACTATGTTTTACATGTATGCCAAATTTCATCGAGATCCGTTCAGCATTCTAGAGGTACCTACAAACAAACATCTATCCATCCATCCATCGAAACATTTGCATTTATAATATTAGTAAGAGATTAGTAAGATACAAGAATGTGTAATTATTTTAATGAATAAGTCATACTTGCATCTGGTGAATAAATGGAATTATTTATTTATAGCTGTATGATTTATATTATCTTTGATTCCTTGTTATGTGGAATTTAGTATATTAGATTGCTCGATGAATAAATTAACACGTTGAGTGCCACGTCAGCCATCGGTGGCTGACACTAGACTCTCTGTTTTGGCCGCGTCAGCCATCGGTGGCTGACACTAGTTTTTCTGTTTAAGTCGCGTCAACCATCGGTGGCTGACAGCGTGTAACATGAGAACTATAAAATTTTACACGAATTTGCGGAATTGAAAAATGTAAACTATTTTGTACAGCGATCGGAAACAACGGCCCTTTAATACTATAAGCGGCGCTCGTGGCCTGAATGGGATTGTCTTTGAAATACGCGTGGCGCTCAATGTGTTAAACAGATTGCATTTATCATGATCTGTCAATTCTAGCTATAATACGCAGCTGTTGTTAAATAGAGGAAGTCTTGAATTCGCGTTGACATTTATTTATGTGAATTAAAAAATCGAGATGAAATAAAAACAAAAAAGTTGTAAAGCGGTTTCCGTTACTTTAATTACAGTAATTAGAGCTGAGTGATTTTGGTTTAATTGTCGCGTCGTTTCCGATGAGGACCATCCGTCTGATTAATCTGACTCGCTGTTCATTGAAAAAAATCGTATGTTCATGATTGTCGTATTACAGAAGAGTGGAAATATATCAAAGATTAAATACTGGGATTAATTAAAAAATAATCTTTGAATTATTTTGTATCAATTAAACTTAAGTTTTTATTCTAACTTGGATTGGCAGAGAAATTCCTATTACGATATCCTTCGTGTTCCTCCTTCATCAAAGACACAACACAATTATTTAATTTTGTTACAATTTGATAGAAATCTAAATTTTTTATCATTAGAACGCGACGGATATACTCGACAACTTATTTACTTTATATTTATTCTACTTAATAATGTATAGTCGAAATTTTATAAAATATTTTTTATGCGATTTAAAGATTATAAATATAACTCATTAGTTACCCATAACTGGAAACTCTGAAACTTTTGATGGCATTGGGAATGAAGACTTAACCTGTTTTAGAAAATTTCAAAGCAATGTTGTGTCTAATCGTGAAAGGCATGAATAAACGCGGAGATGCGGTTGATTTGCTCCTCCTAAAACATTACATACAGCCTTGAAAGGTGTCCACAGGCTTTTGATTAGTGTAATTAATTTAATTTGGAAAGCTCTTTTATTGCTGGCAATTTTAAGTGTTAGGCTTTTATATAAACTGGTTTTTAAAATTATGTGATCACTTTAAAAGAAATCGCTACGATTAGTTTTTGTTTGAGTAAGGTTTGAATAATTATACTTATAAATGTATGATTTAGATTCGATTTTATATGATTAAAATACACATCGTATGTGTTAAAGTAATTTTTTTATGTGATAAATTTTTTGCTTGTTGATAAAAATATATAATAATTTTAAGGACAATATATCATTAGTTTTAAGCCATTTGAACTAACGTCGATTTGTTGCTTATGTTTTTTAATACGCCTAAATATTATAAATGTTTGAATTTATTTAATTAAGAGTCTTTACTTGTATCATAAATATGATTACAAATTGGATTTAATATAAGTTTTTAATATATTTTTCTCTACTTTTGATCTATCTATTTTAATAATATCATTGTTGACAATATTTACATTCAAATAATAGTTTCTCTCCCCAATTAGAATCGAATATTTTACAGCAAACGGTCACCATACGAGGTATAATTTATCAATATTGCAGATATTTCATGAAATGGGTAGGAAATAAACGCCCCCGACTGCACATAGCGTAATATCGCAGGGTTTGCGTGCGTGTGCACTTTAAATGTAAATGTGTTGCGGTGTGGTCGCGGTCGGGCAACAGGTGGCGCTCGGGAGCAGGGGGCGCGAACACTTGTTGCGTTTGTACGTACCTTTACGACCGGTCAAGTGAACTGGCTTTATTTCACGTCGTGTTGGTTTTAGATTGTGATGATAATTTGCTAGGACCGTTATGAGTTGTTTTGTTTATTTTTTTTATAACAAGGCGTTTGGTTATTAAAATAAATACACGTAAGAATTTAGAATTTTATTAAAAGACACTCTTTATTTTATTACCTAAACCGTCTGTTAATACTTTTGCGAAGAATACTTTAAGATTAGACTCATGTCAGTATACGGTATATTTTGTGTTAGGTTTTTCTAGTCCCGTATTATGTGACGTGGATGAAGAGGCTTTCATAAATGTATTTGACCTGTAGTCTGTTATCTAGAGTGTGTTTACCTCTGACACCACAGCTGTGTTACAATAGCTCGCAACAAAAGCTCGCGCCATGTTGACCGCCGCCATTGTTCGCCGTTTGAAGTTGGAACGTCGCGTGACGTCAGCGGCGCGTGCGCTGTTTCGCATTCAAATAATCTCCCGCAATTATTTTGCAATTAAATATATTAAATTCACTTGAATCATGATTATTACGATTTAAAAGAAATTAGGAAAGTTACTTGATTGCAAAAAAAATATATATATTTAATAATACTAATTTGTTCCATGTGCTTCTTTGGACATAATAGATGGTAAGCCTATTGTTATCTCTACTAAGCCGTGGAAAATTATATCCTACATAAATGACTTTACTAACATATGGCTAATAACTTTTTTGTTTTAGGGAGGAACGTAGAGTAAACAACATACGGAATGTGTAGGTTTTAAATTTGTAACATTAAGTTTTCTCACGACCGCCATAATCCATTAGTCGAGTCGTTTAAAAATTGACCATTTAGAGGCCCGTATCACCGGCGAGGCCCGCGCAGTGAAGCGTACACAAGGGTGTAGTCATAATGCGGTAAAAGTGTTATTTCAAACGGTTTTTCACCCACTGATGCATAAAATAAATTAACAAAAGCTTTACATTTAATTAAGTGTAACATGACTTTTGCATTCACACGACTTTTATGAAGCATTTGTTTTGCCATTTGGCCAC